ACCATGACCTCAGAAAGCAGATGATTCCCATGATACCATCCCAGGAGTGAATCTGCATCTCACCCAGCCAACCTGGCCCTGGGTGTGCACCCAGCTGTGGTTGGCAAAGGAGGAGTTCTGGAGCACGTGGAAGGAAAGGGGCTCTTCTGCTTCTGGATGATGGGATCCTAGAGCTTGGGGAGCTGAGAGAGAGGGGAATGCAAAGTGGAGAGAGTGTAAAGCGTTGGGAAACAAGATGCCACAGGAAGAAGAGGAGACCAGAGAGGAGAGGAAGGATGGAGATAATTACACGTGTTCCAGTATTGCTTTTCCCCTGGGCCAAATTTCTCTCCCCAAAATCAGAGACAGAAACTAAGACTGTAGACAAGAATTCTGGGCCTAAAAGTAGCCTGAAAGACTCCAAGAGCATCCTAGAGCAACACTGCTCCCTTTCTCAGGTACTCTCCAGAGCTTCCTCTCCACCTCCCTGTACGTTACCCTCGGTATCCTCCCACCTGAGCTCTTCCTACCTTCTGTGCTTTCCTCAGGGCAGCAAAGTTCCCTGAAGAGGACCAGGAGCAGGAGCAGGATTACGTGCATCACTGGAGCTCTGTCAGGGGAACAGTGTCTCGGCAGAACGCCTTCCCTCAGAACTCAGACATTAGCACCCCTCTCCACACCCTCTTGCACTGTCATCTCACTTCCCTTTCCACATGCAGACAAACTTCTCCCTCTGCCTGCGTCTCTGCAAAAGAACCTCCATTGCCTCCCTTTGCCACAGCCTCCCACAGGGTCTCTCACTTCCCTTCCATATCTCCCACATTCTGGCTTCCAGGTTTTCTCCCTGTTCTTATCTACATCTGCCCAACCTCCTCTATTGCATTAACTGCTGGAAAAGGAGTCCTGACTTAGAACAAAGTCTGTGTTCTGACTAAAATATGTAGTAGCTTTTGGCCTTGCAGAAATCAAATACACTTGGGTTGTAAATATTCTCATATGTTTGAAGCGATGGAAGTGACTTGGTAGAACCCAGTAACGCATTCAGCAGTCTCTGTGCTCCTGCCTCTCTGTGGCCTTCTCCTCCACCTATCTGCCACCTGGCCTCCTTTCTCCCTCTTCTTGGTCTTGCTGTTTTGCTCTACTGACCCATAATTCTTACCTCTATGCCTACTTTTGCTCTTCTTACATGCCCTGCCTGTTCTCCCTGTCCCTTCAGTCTCTCCTCTGTTTCATCAGTCTGCTCTTCTCAAATCTCATTATCAGAAGACACTAGGCATCCTGAGTGCAGATTTCAAGCTATACTACAAGGCTATAATAACCAAAATGGCATGGTAATGACACAAGAACTTAAACACAGACCAATCAATCAGAACAGAGGACCAAAAGAACAGAGAACCAAGATATAAAATCATCCTCATATTGTCATGTGATCTTTGACAAAGTAGAAAAAAACATACACGTCAAAAAGAATTCCTATTCAATAAATGATGCTGGAAATTGGATAGCCACATGTTGAAGACTGAAACAGAACCCTCACCTCTCACCATTCACCACAAAAATTAATTCCTGATGGATAACAGACTTCAACCTAAGGCATGACACTATAAGAATTTTAGAGGAAAATGTTGGAAAAACTCTTACAGATATTGGCCTAGGCAAAGAATTTATGAAGAAGACCCCAAAGGCAATCACAGCAACAACAAAAATAAATATTATACATGGGACCTGATTAAAT